AAAGATCCAAGTAAGGTACCTATTTATCAAGTGGCAAGCGATTTTGTCACCCACTTGATTAAGTACCTTGTGTACCGGTACTTACGAGAAGCTTCTCGGCCGCAAGCTTCAGGACACGTCAAACGTCGCTATGCTGACGCTGCGTTTGCAACTTTGACATTGGTGGCTTGGTTTGCCGAATGCTACGTTCTAGACAGGAGAAACTCACCCAACTTGTCCATCAGCCTATGCGACGACGGCTTCATATTGCACTTCCTGCAGCATAGCGTTCAGCCGTCTAGGATCCTTGCCACGTCGTGGTTGAGGGATATATATAAAGTGGCTTGGTGGCGCGTTCACTTAATCGTACCCTCTCAAAGCCGCTCATGCTACACCCTCAGGCGTCTCGTCTGCACGGTGAGCCTGAGAAACATAGAGGATGGCAGTGGTGGCGCGAAAACATGATGATTCATGTCAGATATGATGGCGAGAACCAGGTTTTGAACGAAGCGTAAGCAACCATCAACACGGGCGCATTGCAGCTTGCCAATGCTATCTGCCTGCTCATGCACGAGCAAGTAGATCACGTGAAGGGTTCCATTGGCTCTTGAAGCATGCACACAACGACAGATTGCAATTGACAGGCACGATCTGCAGATGTTAGGCTCAGGTGCAGACTGTAAGCTGGATCCTCTCGGTGAGCAGAACGGTGTACGGGAACAGTCGACATCGCTTCGCCAGCAATGATCCGAGGTGTCGGCCTTCTGTCGCCAAATAGGATTCTTTTTAAACGATGAAGAGACCGCTCTTCCAGCTATTGTAGTAATGGATGGTAGGTTGTTCATTGAAGCCATTCTACTCTGCGACTAATGACTCTGTGTCTCGTGAGAAGTCCAAATTGCTGCTTTCTTGGGCGCTACTTCTCAATCATCAATGCTTTCTCATCAACTCAAAAATATCAAATGCGGGCAAAAGGGGCAAAGCTGTCAGGCAAGCAAACGGCTCAGATCATGCACGTATCTCTCTTAGACTTTTGTGTCTCAATGATAGACCTTTCAAAATCTCTCAGAAGGTGGAAGTCTGTCTCTTAATCATCCAACCAACAGCGTTGGTGTTGAACCCGACTTCGAGTTGGTGGTTCGCTCCTAGAGAAGCTTCATTTGGATGGCATTCGCATTTCATGAGCCAACACTAACCGCGGCCAACCGGGCTCTCTACCAGGTACTAGCAGGTAGTACCACATACATCTGTGATATTAAAGACTCGAACTGAAATCACAGCAAATCATGTGTTCTGATATAGTGGAATATACTGGGGGAATAACTTCTGCTGTTCCCATCGCTTGCCCCTCCTTCTCTATTGGTTGTAGTTTTGTAAATAAATCAGTTATTTCGTCAACAAAAGTACCAGTATTGCCCCTCATTGTGGCTGAAGCTCCAACGTCGTCGCCTGCCTCCAAGCCTGTTTGGGGAGGTGAGTATGTTCCCCATGGCATACGAGATTACTTACAGACCGGGCAATTATTTTCACAGGTCTCATGGCCAGCTGGAGTGGCTCTCAACAAAACGGCCAATCGTCACAGTCAAAAGAGAGTCAAGCCACGGAGCGCCACGATAGAGATGCTCCTGGCCTGTGCATAGAGAGCCGCTACCCTGTTCAAATAACGAACCTCCGTCTGCGGCTTGTGTGGCTCTTCCCCGCTGCTGGCGGCGCCTGAACACAGTTGTCGTCTGCTCATCCACTGCACCTGCCTCATCAGTGACCAATGACCAGTGCGGCACCATCTCGACTCCTCATGCGGGTTTCATCCATTTCCGCCCTCCAAAGGCTGACATCTTTGCGAGCTTCTTCTTCCTCAATTCACACTTCTCCCAAGACTTTGAGACCTAGAAATCACTTCCTCTTGCTTGCGAAACCCTGCCGGCAGAGATTTTCCACAATGAACGCTCAGGAGCTCAAGCACTACCTGGCTGACGCGCCGCCGAGCGTCGTCCGTTTGGAGATTGAGAAGCACTTTGAACCCCTCACCGACAAGCAGAAGCGCTATGCGCATTTCATCAGCAAGTAAGAACCTCGTCGTGATGCCATGTCATCATTGGTGTTAGCCATGCCAAGCTTTCATGGGGGAACGGAAGCTAACAGACATGTTAGAGCCTCGTTTGCGGGAACCCGTATTGTGCTCAGACAACTTTCCCCAGAGTCAGAGCCAATTTACGACTTCATCATTGCCTTACACAAGAGCAGTGGTGGTGACTGGAATAGCCTTGCCAAGAAGGCTGGTGTCGATGAGAGCCAATTGACCAACTTCCTGGAGTATGCTGCCCAATTCTTGGGCAACAATGGCAACTACAAGAGCTTCGGTGATGCCAAGTTCATCCCTAGAGCCGATGAGAAGACTTTCGCGGCTCTTGCTGCTACCTCTCCTGAGGCTGAGCGTTTCTACAAGGCGACCAACGGTGCCATCTTCAGCTCTGACAAGCAGGCGCTGATGCACCTCGGATTCCCTGACAAGGGTCACATGACTACCTACTACCCCGACTCCCCTCATATTACTCAGGAGGAGATCGAAGCCGTATCCGCCTGGATGGAGAAGAAGGGCCTTCTCCCCGAGAACAACCGTCTCCGTAAGACTAAGGAGGGCATTTTCGAGATTCTCATTGCCTCGGCTGTCACGAGCGTTCCCACTGAAGGTGGTGACATCGGCAAAGAGACCGAGTTCAAGGTTGAGGATGGTCTACTCAAGGGCAAGACGATTAAGCTGGTATACGGCGACTATGCAGCTGAGATGAAGGCTATTTCCGAGTATATTACAAAGGCGCAGGAGAACAGCGACAACGAGAACCAGGCAAAGATGCACGAAGCATACGCGAAATCTTTCTCGACTGGCTCCCTCCTCGCATTCAAGGACAGCCAGAGATTCTGGATCAGAGACAAGGGGCCCATGGTTGAGTCCAACATTGGATTCATCGAGACCTACAGAGATCCCGCTGGTATTCGCGGCGAGTGGGAAGGTTTCGCATCTGTGGTCAACCTGGAGCGTACCCGTGCCTTCGGTGCTCTCGTCTCCGCTGCGCCCGAACTGATTCCCCTCCTCCCTTGGAGCAAGGATTTCGAGAAAGACAAGTTCCTGTCGCCCGACTTCACATCCCTCGAGGTTCTGACCTTTGCTGGATCTGGAATTCCTGCTGGAATCAACATCCCCAACTACGACGATATTAGGCAGACTGAGGGCTTCAAGAACGTTTCTCTTGGCAACGTCCTCAGCGCCAAGGCTCCCAACGAGAAGATTCCTTTCATCTCCGACGCCGACTTGGAATTGTACCACAAGTACAGGGACCCTGCTTTCGAGGTGCAGGTTGGCCTTCACGAGTTGACTGGACACGGCTGTGGAAAGCTTCTTCAGGAGACCTCTCCCGGAACCTACAACTTTGACAAGAAGAACCCTCCTGTCAGCCCCTTGACCGACAAGCCTGTGATCACATGGTACAAGCCTGGACAGACATGGGGATCTGTATTCGGCAGTCTTGCTGCTTCGTACGAGGAGTGCCGCGCTGAGCTTGTCGCTATGTACCTTGGGTATGTCATGCATCGTGCAACTGGCTGTGCAGCAACCCCTGACTAATCTGGATCTAGATGCGAGTTCCCTGTTCTCAAGATCTTCGGCTTTGGCGATGGAAGCACCGACATCAACAACGAGGCCGGCAACGTCCTGTATGCTGCTTACCTTCAGATGGCCCGCGCAGGTCTCGTCTCCTTGGAGATGTGGGATCCCAAGAGCCAAAAGTGGGGCCAAGCGCACTCGCAGGCTCGCTTCTCTATCCTGCAGGTTGGTGACAATGACGTACGCGTATGAAAGCCCAAATGCTGACAATCACTCTCCACAGTGCTTCCTCCAGGCTGGCGACGACTTCTGTAAGCTGGAGTACAAGAAGGATGATCTGTCCGACCTGGAGATCAAGCTTGACCGTTCAAAGATTTTGACCACTGGTCGTGAAGGTATGTGGTCCCCAATCTTATGACGAGCACTTTGGGGCACATCGATGCTGACTGACGATTCGCAGCCGTTGGAAAGTACCTCCAGAAGCTTCACGTGTACAAGGCCACCGCCGACGTCGAGAATGGCACCGCCTTCTACAAGGAGATGACCAACGTCGACATGGACTTCTGGGGCACAAAGGCGAGAAACGTTGTCCTGGCCAACAAGCAGCCCCGCAAGGTCTTCGTCCAGGCCAACACCTACCTCGACGAGGCCACCGGCAAGGTCAGCATCAAGCACTACGAGGCGTCTCCGGCAGGTATCATCCAGAGCTGGGTCGACCGTGACTTGTGACTAAGCCCAAAGTCCGAGACGGCCAAGCTGTGAAGAGGCTGGCTGTGAATAGATGAAAAAGGGGGTCCTGCATCAACCATAATAAACCTTGTAATACCATGCTCCTAAGAGGAGCCAGAACATTCAAGTTTCATAGATCATTCGCATGACGTGAAGCCTAGTGGATATGTTTGAAGACTTCCGAGATTGTTGGTAGGCTCCTTATGGCAAGTTTTGACATCATCCACTTTGGTCGTCACGAGTCAAGGAAGTGCAGCGTATGGTTCATGTCAAATATTGTCATTCCCTCGTAAAGGGGGAGGCACGTCGTCGTTGGACCGGATGCGTTATCTTCTTTGTGTGTTGGATTTGTGAAGAACCTCATTACAGACGCCAAATGTGACCGATGCCGTCGACTTCCAAATGCAATTGGCAAAACCAGCCCAGCCCGTGTAGCCATAAGTTCTTCGTCGTCTACAACAACAACATTCCTCAAACCGTTGCGAACTGGGCGAAAAAAATGTGTGGTTCTTCTTTTTTTGATCCCAATTGACTTTGTCCCCTTCCTTTTCCACGGAGTCTCTATGTCCACATCATCCGGAAGCCTTGATTTTTGAAACGACCAGCGACGAAGAGAGCAAACCCCCGAAAAGCCCACACGCCAAACGAAACCTCCCTCTCAACAGCTTTTTTGGTGTAGGAAAAAAACTGTTTACCAGGTCATCTCGTGGGGCTTGTCGCCCTTGCGCAGGCTGAAGGAACTCGCCAGGTAGGAGGCGAGCATGTCGACCTTCTTGATGCTGGCGAGGAGGGCCTTGTCGACGGCCTTCTGGTCGGCGGCACGGCTGCTGTTGATCTCCTTCTTCTGTAGTCACACATGTACTGTCAGCCTCCCGTTCTCATTGCATCCGTCCTGGACCTGTATGTCCCAGAAGATAAAATCGTACCTCGGGCTTCTCTCCCTGCTTGAAGAAGGCGGCCTCGCCGACCTGCTTCTTGGCCTTGTCGGCGGTGAAGTACTTGGGTGCGGAGATCTCCTCAATCTTCTTGGACTCAACGCCGGAGACGTCGACCTTGTAGGATGTGGCGATGACGTAGCGGGAGTTGACGCGGCGGAGGGGAACGCCGTTGATCTTGAAGGGGCCGGTAACGAGAAGGACACCCTGGTCGAGGGTCTTCAGGAGAACGACGCGCTTGCCGCGGAAGCGGCCGGCGAGGAGGATCAGGATGGTACCGGGCTGGAGGGTCTGGCGGGGAGCCCAGGGGCGGACGGCCTTGCGGACCTAGTGACAATTGTCGTCAGTATCGCCGTCGCCAGTTTTCATGATTTTTGTGCGTGTTGCTTGAAATTCGACATTTGTGATAAAGGGGGATATGTCATTCCGCAGATCACGAGCGTCTTCCTCCTCCATGTCTCCGATTCATTTTGTGTGCGTTGGTCGATTTGCGATTGGTGGTGCCCGTATTGATATGTTGTCTCCCTCGTGCCATCTTGGCTGTCCCAACTTGGGGCTCTTGAAGTTTTGCGTCGTAATTCGAAAAAAATTGTTGCGCTCGCTTTGTCGTGTCCTCCCAATTGCATCCCAAGACCAAACTCGTGACCGCTCTCGAAATGACATTTCCTCCTTCCATCGCATATGCGCAAAATTCCAAGCAGCGCCAGCACGCAGTTGGAGTAAACTCACCTTCTTGGCCTCGGGCTCATCGTCGGCGTTGTACCACTTCTGCGCCTTCTGGGAGGGGGCGGGGACGACCCGAGTCGACGAGCCGAACTTCTTGGTCGTGGATTCCGTCTTCGCCGACATGGTTGCTCTCGGTCCTCGTGGAGGGCTGTTGTGGTTAGCGGAGAATGGGGATCGTGAACGAAAAAGAAGGAAGTGGTTGATCTCGTTCGAGAGGCTTTGGTTGTTGGGGTCGGGTCGGCGGGAAATCGATTTCTCAGAAAATGTCTAGCGAGTGTGGGCGGCGGGTGTGGAAGGCAAGCCCTCCGCTAGTCCATATTAGGCAGGGTGCATACGGCAGAAACCTCTGCACTCTCTGCAGGTGCGGGCGGTGAGCCAGGGCCCCTTCCCATGCCGACAATTTCTAACGGGAGATTGTGCGCCCGATTTTCCGGGGCCAGACCCCCAGGGCCCACTGATCGGTATGCTTCCCAGCTCAGGGCCGGAGTCGGACGGGATGTCACTGGACGTCAACGGAGTCACATCAGCAGCACGTAGCTCTCTGTCTTGCTAATCCATAGTTAGTCGGAGGGCTTTTAATTATTTGGAAAACACCACAGTATCCAAAAATCATTATCAAGATATTTTCTTAACATCGTCAACCACAGTCTCCGCATCATGAATGTAGCTCTACTCTGTACTCGGAACACTGCCTACCTATGATGGGCAAACAGCGCTGGCGGTAGTTGCATTTCGTCATGCGCATTGGCCACGTGCTGATAAGATAAAGCTTCGGAACGTGCTAGACCTCACCGAAAGTGCGAGAATGTACTTGTGGAATCTTCCGACTTCGCGACTTGACAACACTAGGAGGTTGCTCAAAGAATATTTGAGGCATTGTACTTGTCTTGTTTCTATCTGGTGTGAAGTTATCAATCTGGGACGACTTTTTACAACAACTGGCATTGACCAGTAGCCACAATGCAAGCCAGAAGACAACTCATCTCATCAGTCCGGCGTATCGTCGGGTCATCGTCACCGAGACCTACTCGACTAATCTCAAGAGCCATCATCAACGAATCTGCTGCACTCAGAAGTAGTAGCAAGCTTCTACCAACGATAGCCATCAGAAATTATGCAAATGGAAGACCTCATCCCCCAGGCGGTACACACCGCATGAACATGGGTGGCGAGCCAGAGAAACCGGCACTCGAACAATTCGGAATCGACCTGACGGCGAAAGCCAAGGAGGGAAAGCTCGACCCTGTCATTGGACGTGATGCTGAAATTCAACGAACTATTCAGATTCTATCGCGGCGGACAAAGAACAATCCTGTCGTGATTGGAAAAGCCGGCACCGGCAAGACGGCCATCCTCGAAGGCCTTGCACTGAGAATTGTGCGTGGCGATGTCCCGGAGAGCATCAAGAACAAGCGTGTTATTGCTCTCGATCTTGGCTCGCTGATTGCGGGTGCGAAGTTCAGGGGAGACTTCGAGGAGAGACTGAAAAAGGTCTTGACTGAGGTCCAGCAGGCAGAGGGCGAAGTTATCCTCTTCATCGATGAACTGCACACGTTGCTCGGCCTCGGCAAGGCCGAAGGATCGATCGACGCGAGCAACCTGCTGAAGCCAGCACTTGCGCGTGGCGAGCTTCAGTGCTGCGGTGCAACCACGTTGGAGGAGTACCGCCTAATCGAAAAGGACGTTGCCCTTGCCCGGAGATTCCAGCCCATCATTGTCAACGAACCCACCGTCCAGGACACAGTCAGCATCCTGCGCGGTATCAAAGACAAGTACGAAGTCCACCATGGTGTACGCATCACCGATGGTGCTCTGGTGGCAGCCGCTACCTACTCTAACCGCTACATCACCGACCGTTTCTTGCCCGACAAGGCAATCGACCTGATGGACGAGGCCGCCAGCCATCTCAAGCTCGAGCATGAATCGAAACCTGAAGACATCATGGCTCTCGACCAGAAGATCATGACCATCCAAATCGAACTCGAAAGCTTGCGCAAGGAAAAGGACGTGGCCAGTCAAGAGCGTCGCGACAAGCTGCAGGCGGACCTGAAGAAGTACGAAGACGAGATCGCTGAGCTTACCAAGCGCTGGGAAGCTGAACGTGGCGAGATTGAGGCCGTCAAGAAGACCCAAGAGGAGCTCGACAAGGCCAGAATCGAGCTAGACCAGGCACAGAGAGAAGGGAACTTTGGCCGGGCGTCTGAGTTGAGATACAGCGTCATCCCCGCCCTGGAGCAAAAGATTCCCAAAGACGGCGAGAAGTCAGACGGCAGCCTCATACACGATGCCGTCACTGCGGACGACATCGCTGCGGTCGTTTCAAAGGTGACCGGCATTCCCATTTCCAAGCTTACTTCCGGTCACATTGAGAAGCTCGTACACATGGAAGATTCCCTGCGCGAGGCTGTCCGTGGCCAAGACGAGGCAATCAAGGCCGTCTCGAACGCCGTACGCCTCCAGCGCGCCGGTCTCAGTGGTGAGAACAGGCCGCTTGCATCCTTCTTCTTCCTCGGACCGACCGGTGTCGGAAAGACGGAGCTCTGCAAGAAGCTCGCCGGATTCCTCTTTTCTACTGAGTCGGCCGTCGTCCGGTTTGACATGAGCGAGTTCCAGGAAAAGCACACCATCTCCCGCCTCATCGGAGCGCCCTCCGGCTACGTGGGCTACGAAGACGCCGGCCAGCTCACCGAGGCCGTCCGCCGCAAGCCTTACGCCGTGCTCCTCTTTGACGAGTTTGAGAAGGCCCACCGCGACATCTCGGCCCTCCTCCTCCAAGTCCTCGACGAGGGCTACCTCACTGACGCTCAGGGTCACAAGGTCGATTTCCGCAACACCATCATCGTGCTGACGTCCAATCTCGGCGCAGACATTCTCGTCGGCGCGGACCCTATCCACCCGTACAAGGAGACAGCCGACGGCGAAATCGACCCTTCCATCCGCAAAGCCGTTATGGACGTCGTGGCCGCAAACTACCCGCCAGAGTTCCTCAACCGCATCGACTCCTTCATCGTCTTCAAGCGCCTCGCCCTTGCTGCCCTCCGGGACATTGTCGACATCCGCCTGCGCGAGCTGCAGCAGCGGCTTGACGACAAGCGCATCGTACTCGACGTCGGCGGCGAGGTGCGAGACTGGCTCGCGGAGCGCGGCTACGACCCCAAGTTCGGCGCGAGACCGCTCAACCGCCTCATCACCAATGAGATTGGCAATGGGCTCGCGGACAAGATCATCCGCGGCGAGTTGCGCTCCGGTGAGACGGCGGTTGTCAGTATCAAGGAGGACAATTCGGGCCTCGAAGTTGCGGCTCAGTCAAAGGCGTGAAAAAGACACATCTGATTACGACATGTACGAATACTTGTTTTGATTCATTGTTAGGAGCACGGAGTATATGGAAGGAAAAGGCTGTATTTCCCTCTCTTGAAAGTGTATGCCAACCAACATTGTAGCGTTGTGGAAACGCCGTGTAAGACTGTAAAATCATTGATAGACTATAATTACACATATAATCTACTCACGTATTCCATCCCAGGACCCACGGATAATATTCGTTTTCGATCCCAATCATCTAGCGAGCCTGTGCACTTATACCCACCTTTCACGAGTAGCCATTTGTCCTCTTGAGTCGCATCTGCTTGCATGCCATCCCTGTGACGTCGAGTACCCACACCCACGCGTCCAAGACAGCATTCCACAAAGGGGCTCTGCGGTAAGACGGCGTTGAAGCGTACGCTTCAAGAGGGGGCTAGAACTCTGGGCTGAGGATGCCGCGAGACATTTCACTAAAAGGGGTCCGTCGAGGAATGGAGGGGTTGGGACGGCGGCGGCTCCAGGAAAAAAAAAAAAAAAAAAGAGTCATCGCATATCCCGTGGCACCATGAAACTTTGTGAGAAAAAAAGGAAGTCAAGTCTATAACGATTCTGTCCCAACTCTCAAGGCTAGAACTACCTGAACCCCCTCCATACCTAACAACAAAGACGACAAACTGGAGGAAAGCAGGGCGAACCACCCCTCATAGGGGGACTGACCAGTCATGAAGAAAATCGTTAAGCCCATGTCTCATCCCTTCCCCTACCGAGAATGGTAGGCAAACCAGACCACCAAAAGAGCAGAAAACACCGTATTCATGGAATTGCGCGGAGGCGAGAAAGCCAGGGTGTTCATGAGTAGGCTTCTCCGTCACATTTGGACGGAGAAGCGTATAGAGTTGCTGCGTGAGGACTGTACAGATTTCCGAACCCAAGACGCCCCCTTTCTTCCAAAACGAAACTTGTCCTTTTGAGACCAGAATGTGTGTGCTTGCTGCGTCGAGAGAATGCCAATGGAGTGTGGCTCACGTGATGTCAGGGACCACCATGGGGAGGAGGGGATGGAAGGACGAGAAAATGCGAAAAAATGAGTTATGGACTATTCGATTGCCTTGTGACCGGTAGCTTTGCGAATTACAACCGTACCAGAGGGATGACGTGAAAGAGTAGCAGAAGAGAGGTAGTCCGTTCGGCTTCTCTTCGCGGCATTTACTGGTGACCCGCCTTGCGCAGGGTGGTGGCAAGCCACTCGAGACCCTCGTAGAGACCATCACCGGAGGTAGCGCAGGTGGACTGGATGTACTATTGGGGGGATCAGTATGTAAGTCGTAATTCGCCATGCTCGAAGGGAAACATACCCAGGCGCGTTGTCTCAGGGAGTGGAGGCCAAGCTTGTCTGTGATCTCGGCAGCGTTCATGGCGTTCTGTAGGAGAAAAGGTCAGTCGCATGCTCCAAAATTGATGAGGCCTCACGGAGTGCCGAGGGAGGGGAAGGGGGATGGCGGGGTAACGTACGGGCAAATCCTGCTTGTTGGCGAAGACCAGGAGAATGGCATCCCGCAGCTCGTCCTCGTTGAGCATGCGCTGGAGCTCCTCACGGGCCTCGACGATACGGTCGCGATCGTTGCTGTCGACGACGAAGATGATACCCTGGGTGTTCTGGAAGTAATGTCTCCACAGAGGACGAATCTTGTCCTGGCCACCGACATCCCACACGGTGAACTGAATGTTCTTGTACTCGACAGTCTCGACGTTGAAACCTGAAAAGGACGGAATGTTAGCATGCCATTCGCCTCCTCGATGCATTGACCTATCGACAGCCGGGGCGCGATATTCGATGATGACACGAGACAGGATAGGGTGGTAAGGGGCGGTGCGTACCAATGGTAGGAATGGTCGTGACGATTTCACCGAGCTTGAGCTTGTAGAGAATCGTAGTCTTTCCGGCGGCGTCAAGACCGACCATCAGAATTCTCATCTCCTTCTTTCCCCAAAGCTTGTCGAAGATCTTGGAAAATGCGAGACCCATGGTTGCGGTTCGGGCTGTGATGAACGTCTAAGTGTCGGTTGCGTTGGGTAGGAAGAAGTAATCTGTTGAGGAGCGACAGTGTAAGCAAGCGCGCAATTGATGAATTTAGATTAAATGGTAGTGACGTCGAGAGAAGATGCGGGCGGGATATAAAGCAACATAGAGAGCACACTCGGAAAGGACAGATCGTAACGGAGGCGGGCAAGATCGGGTCACTGACCAAAGTCTGCCTAGGCGCTGAGCGAAGGCAAGGTGATGCGATGATGGACTGTTCAAGGTTGAAGTTGAGAACCAGGCTGCCGCAATTCGCAAATGGAGGAGAGGAGATAGCGGGATAGAAGAAGTGGATGTGGACAGGCGACGTGGAGGGAGGGAGGGATAGGGATATTGGATTGGATTGGGGGGCGTGTGGTGGGCTGCTCTGCCTTTCTACTGCATCCTGAGGTGTCGTGTCCAGACCAGACCGATGTAGGCACGCGCGCAAGAGCAACTTTGGCCGAGGGGGTGGGAAAGGGGACTGAGGGGACCAAGGCCCGACTGAAGATGACACAGAGGCTGGAAAGAAAGGGACGGAGTCGAAACAGAAACAGGTGATGACGAGAACTAGTGACTTACTTCTTCACGACGTCCCTCTGCGACGGGAGACTGGAGACGAGTGGTGGTGGTGGTTTTTTTTGGTCGTGGGTGTGATTGTCGGTGAAGGGGGGGAGACAGTCCAAGTGTCAAGAGGATTAGTTTAGGTGGGTGGAATAGAGGCGAGCAGAGGGGGTGGGCTTTGCTAAGATAATCTTGGGCTCTGCGAGGTTGGTGGTGATTTTCAGAAAGGCCATGTTTTTCAAACTCTGTGTCCCCACTTCTACTCGACCACCGCTACAAACGGACGCCACCCTGTGGCCCGCCGAGGTACCTTCCCTAGCAAGCTGCTGTCTGGCGATACCTGCCCTTGGGATTCCTAAAACTGCCCACGCTGTCATGTTCCATGAGGTAAGGTACCTAAGGTTGCGTGCTGAGGGCCTCAAGTCAAGCTGGGCACGGACCATACCTAGGCCACTCGGAGCTCCCTCTACTGTAAGGTAGGCACCCTTCTAGCGTTGTCAACCGCTAAAGGGCCTCTTTGAAGCACAAAGTACCCGCATCACGTGCAGGGGTCGGCTTCCATGTACCGTGAGAAACAAAGTCGGAAAAGCATCGGTCCATTACGTCTGGCCCCCCGAGCTAGACTTCTTTCGGCTCAGCCTCAAGTCCAACCAGACGTCGCCAAAGTGTCCAGACTCAAGGAACAGGGATCACCTCCAGGAACCGATCTGGAGAACAGCCTGGACACAAGCCAACGTCGCTCCTTTTTTCCTCCGACCCTGACCTCTACCATTCGACTCCAGAACAGCTCGACTCCGCTGTGCCTGCCGACCAGCTGAGTCTGACTTCTTTTCGTATCGGCCACGTCAGAGAGCTCTTACACCACCCAGAGAAAAAAAAAGATTGGAAGCTCCCGCCATGTTCTTCCCTTCGGTCGCCAAGCTGCTCCTCGCAGCTGGCTTCGTCCACTCGGCCTTGGCCCACAACATCCAGCTGCCCGCCCACGGCCGCGAGTGCTTCCACGAGTCGCTGCACCGCGATGACAAGATGACCGTCACCTTCCAGGTCGGCGATCGCGAGTTTGGCAGCGCCGGCAACCTGGACATTGACTTCTGGGTACGAATCCAGCTCCAGCCTAACCCCACCACCACCCCCTTTCGAATCGCGTACTTTGCGCGCAATTACATCATGGCAATGGCAACAAGACTAACCGTTGACTCCCTACGCCTATAGATCACGAACCCCCAGGGCCAGTACGAGACCTTTGACAAGAGTGTCTCCAATGGCGACTTCTCCTTCGACGCGAAGCACGACGGCAAGTACACCTACTGCTTCGGAAACGAGCACTGGGGCGCCCACAGCAAGGAGGTCTCCTTCAACGTCCACGGCATTGTCTACGTTAGCGAGACCGACGTCCCTGCCGACCCCCTCGAAGTCGAAGGTAAGGAGCGCGAGCACAACGAATTCTATTCAGTGGGATTTCTAGGCTTCTCTAACACTTCCCCATTGTAGTCCGTCACCTTTCCGAGCTCCTCGCCCAGGTCAAGGATGAGCAGTCCTACATTGTCCTTCGCGAGCGCACTCACCGTAATACCGCCGAGAGCACCAACAGCAGAGTCAAGTGGTGGAACCTGTTCGTCATTGGCCTCGTCGTTGGAGAGTCCGTTTTCCAGGTGTGGTGGCTTCGCAGATTCTTCGAGGTCAAGAGGGTGGTTTAAAAGTAATAAAAAAAAGGGCGTCGTCATTTTTCGTTTTCCGGATACCCGTGTTGGGGACGACAGGTCGAAGGCGCACAAAAAGGGAAGGTGATCCGGCTTTGGTAGGATGTCCTTGGAGGCCTGAATGCCAACAACATCCCTGGAGATGAGATTGAGATGTATAGTGTATCATAGATCACATGAATGACACGAATGGTTCTGAACATGAAGCAAGGGCTTGCCTTCCTTTTATTTTTATTTTTATTTTTTTTGGTCTGGAGTGGACCACTGGCGAACCTTTGAGCGTCTTTAATCATAAGACGCCTTACAACAGGCGTAAAGCAATCAGTTGAAGGGTGCAGATGCAAACAAGACATTTCATTTACAATAGTCTTTACCCCCAGCCCTGCAACACTACTAACATTGCCTCAGCATCTACAGAAAAAACCAATTGGCAGACAAGCTCGTTACTCAAGAGGAGATATTTGTATTACAATATCCACACCGGAAGCCGGAAACAGCCAGTACTGTCTGTCTGTCTTTCTGTGTGTGCCATCTAGGATGAAGATACTAGAGGTTTCTGTCCCTGACAGCAGTGCCACTGAAAGCCGTCTGGAAACCCTACCCACAAACGGATACATGAGGCACAGCTGTAATGACCTCATCTAGTTCTTGTGACTCATGCGGAATCATAGTCTGGGTTTTCTCAAGGGCAATGTGCTCGGGTGATCTCTTCTGAAGATGCACTACTAGGCAGGCTGCCATGAACGGGCTCGGAGTCACCACCGTGTCCAGGAGCTAACACCCCGTTGCAATACTTGTCTCACTTATAGATAGCACTAAGAATCGTTTGCTTCGCTGCCACAAGTCAGTGCGAAGCGACGAGATGGGATGGTGACTGACTGGCTGCGGCGTGGTAGCTCCAATAGCTAGGCAGACTGTACTTCCTTTAGCATGAAGTTGACATTTGGCCTTTTTAGTTGTGAAAGGGGCAGTCACATCACAAGGCAACAGCTTACACCAAAGAACAGAAAGTCATTTTACTGAATCGAATTGTGATGCAAGATTTTTGCTGGCCATCCTCTGTGACCATCATGACTCCCTCTAACCTGACAGTCATTATTTACATCATACATCATGTATACGGCAACGCATTAATGCCTTTCCTACAATAGCCACGAGTCCATCTCGTGAGCCTCAAAAGTATGCGTTATAGAACCCAACAAAGCTAACCCCAAGACGCCGTACCATCTGTATGTCCCAAATGTAGCCCTTTGAAAAAAGAGCAGAATAACACCAAGTGCAACGCAAATAGGTCATGCTTCATACACCTCCAAGGTCGCCTCCTCATGTTCATGCGTTCGGATCAGACTCAGGGACACTCTCCTTTGTCTCTTCGGGTATCTTCTCCACGGGAATATCAACTCCCTTGACTGGATGAATGAGCATTGGAGGCAGGCACATACGGCCCTCACCACCACGCATCTGGCCAACACTGGATCCATCCTTGCTCAGATCCTCTGTCGTCTCGAACTCCTCGCCACCATCATTGTTGACTTTGAGGCCGAGCCAGCGACGGTACAGATTCGGAGCAAAGCCTGAGTTGTAGAACCAGCTCAGACCACGGAGGTTGTGCTCACGCTGACCAAACACTGCAGTACGAGCACCGCCGCTAGCTCCATTCTTGCCGCCGTTGAGGACCTGAGCCAGATATTCCGTGGGCCATTCTCTGTCGACATACATGGGGTGAGGCGCAAATACTGCCTTGTAGCCGTGCTGGAAAGCGACGGTAACAGGCCACATTTCCGGGAAGGCAAAGTGCTTCTTGAAAGCAGTCTCGCGGTGCATCGTCATAAGCAAGCGGCGGGACATGCGCGAAGCCGTGATGATGTGGGCTCTTCTAGGCGGCATAGGCTCGTCCCGGTTGTTCTTGTTGTATCCAGTAATGTCCTCTGACAACAACCAAGTGGTTCCCTCAGGGTCAAAGATGGGGTTGAAGGCGATGTAGTCGGCTTCTTCGCCGACACCCCAAGTGTACTTGTCCTTCTCGTATGTGGTAGGCGGCTTAGGGTCGTTCTCAATCTCGAACCAGTCGTCCTCATTGGTAGGGCGCTCGGGTCCCCAAATGGTCTTCTCTCCTCTTGTAATCTTGGTAGGGTCTTGGTTCTCCTTGGGCTTCGCGCCAGGAATGTTCTTCCACACGTTATCAGCGCCATCTGTTCCCATCTCGGACTGAACACGGGCCATCTGTCTGAAGTCCTCCCAGGAACCGTGTACGCTGGGGATGTAGAATCGAGAATTGCGCTCCCACAATCCCTTTCGCGGTTGCTCCTTGCCCCAGTTCTCCATCTTGGAGAAAAGGTCGTAGTAGTGGCCAGTGTAGCGAATGTCCATCTCCCAGGACCAGTAAAAGTCGTACTCGGGGTGCTGGTAGCCGAAGTATTGCATAGCCATAGTGAGGCCGCGGTAGACTCCGTGAACTGGCAAGTCAGGTCCACGAGTGTAGAGATCGAAGATGCCCTGGTACAGAGACAACATCTGCGTCTCTGTCCACAGCGTCACCAGACCTCTGAACTCCTCGGGAATGCGCTCCTTGATACGGCGCTCGTAAACCTCGTGATCGGCCCAGACAGGGTATGCTGCGTCGTTCTTGATCTGGACGAGAAGATGGACGTCATAGCGCCCGCCTGAAGCCAGTGCCAACTCGGAAATGACCGAGCGGACGTT